ACTCTTTCCTCCTCTCTCACTACACATCACTACTGATTTCCTGCCTGCTTCTGATTGGTCCGTACAAGCAGGAGGAGATTAGGGCAATCCTGAATAAGCTGGAAGGGTATCCAAAGAGCGTGAGGGGAGAGAGAGTGATGCTGTCTCTTTAAGAATATTTTTAGGCTGATAGTTGATGATGGTCAGTGGTGGGGAAAATCAGAGTTAGTGGCGGCAGTGCAGTGGCAGCCTGTGAACATGGATGACAAGGAGAGATGCTGATGTACTGTGGATTTAACAGCTTTTTAAGGGAATTCACACAGCCTAACGCCATTAAACACACTGGACTTGGGTTATTTGCATGCATTCAACCTTAATTTGTTGGGGCTAAAATTAGGTAAGTGGTTGCAATTGTGTATTTTTTATTTTTTGAATAAACAGTATTTGGATAGGTTATTTGCTCCAAGATTTTGTATTCAACAATGTAACCATACACTATCATACATGCAAGCTTTACATCACGCTTGGCTTGCAGATATGAAATTAATTTATGATGGAGGGATGGGGGTTTGCGGTGAACTAGCTGTCAAGCTATTTTTTTCTTGCTGGACAACCCGGTCCATTCTTTCCTCTCCAGGGCAGATATTTAAATTTAATGAAACTGGCAAACAGTGTGTGATCAAGTTACAGTATTAATTACAGCCTGACCCTCTGCTGTACTCCACATGCCTTTGTGTGTATGTATAAGTAGATTACAACATCCAGTTAATAACATCAGCATGTGTGCTTCAAATATACTCTTATTACGTGAATGAATACTGCTGAGTCAAAGCAAGAATATTCAAGGACTAACATGATGAGTGCACATGTGAATGTGTATTTGTCAATGTCGCTTCTGTTTATCTGGGCTTGTCCATCTGTTCGTTTCCTCGTGTTTCGGTACGTGTATATTTTTAGCAGTGTTTATGCATGCTTGCATCGATTTCTATGTCTACGTTTGGTTATGCATGAAAAGCTGAGACACTTGAAGAGACAGAAAAAGAGAAAGTTTGTTTCAGGACAAATGTCAAAAGGTTTAGGCATGCTTGATGGAATAACATGTCAGGGCCAGCGGAGCAGCAGAGCTTACCGAAAGCGAAGACATACTCCTACATCCCCAGACATCACTCAAACATATGCACACACACATAGACATGCAAACAAACAAACAGCTGATCTATTCATGGGCCTATGGCAAGCTACAGTAAACCAATAAAATAACTATAGTGGGGTTTTCAAACTTTCTATGGCAAGGACTTTCTAATGATCATCTAAAACATGAGAAAAATATTAAGTTGGATATTATAAAGACGTGTTCTAAATTAATGGCTGTGGCTGGCTTTTATGTTTTCATTCAACTAAATATAGATAGATAGATAGATAGATAGATAGATAGATAGATAGATAGATAGATAGATAGATAGATAGATAGATAGTATTCTATGTAAAATAAATGCTGTTCTTTTGAACTTTCTATTCATCAAAGAATACTAAAAAAAAAAAAAACTGTTTTCAACATTAATGGTAATAATACTTGAGCACCATATCAGCATATTAGAATGATTTCTAAAGGATCATGTGACATTGAGCACTGGAGTAATGGCTGCTGAAAATTTAGCTTTGCATCACAAAAAAATAAATAAAATAAAAAATAAAATAGAAAACAGTTATTTAAAATGTTAAAAATATTTCACAATTACTGTTTTTACTGTATTTTTAAATAAACGCAACTTTACTGAATATGCAAGACTTTGAAAAACATTAAATAATCTTACCGACCCCAAACATTTGAAAATTAATATTATGAATTTATAATATTATGAAGATGTACAGTTATGGTAAATTTTGAAGTTTCTTGGAGTTCAGTAAAAAAATATAATATGTGAATATGGTCTTTATTCAGTACCATGGTATTGCCATTATATCTTTAGAGTTTCAGGTGAGAACTCAACTATACACACACACACACATACATATATATATATACAGCAAAGTCGGCGAGATCTCAATATAAACATTTCAATATTGCATTTCTCATTAGGTTCTTCTTTTCTTTACTCTTGATGTGTCAATCTCATTTGTGTACATTTTATTTATCCCTGAGAAATGTCTGCGACAAATTTGTTTTTGCTTGAAACATAAATGAAAAATCCATTCAGTCTACTTGAGCTTTGAAAGAGCGATATCTGTTCCTCTGGGTGAGAATGGTGCTGTAACCATGTCTAGAGAAATATTCAATCCAATCTGGCCATGTGTACAGACACACTCCCACCCACCCACACACAGACAAATAGTGGGAGAGGAAAAATGATTCCAGCTTCCTTTACACTTCTCCACGCATGACGCAACACATAATCAGCAGCACACACGCGGCCCTCCCCCAACACATGACGCGCAGGCCGAGTGGGAGAGTGAAGCGTGGGGGATTGAAGCCATGCACGACTCGCTCACGTCCTCACCGTACACACGCTCACTCACAGGAGCAGGCTCTGGGGAAATGTGACTCTCTCTGGCTGTCTTGATCTGTGTGTTTTATTGGCAGAATTTTGTTCGGTGACGGAATAGAGATATGGGGTGAATTTCTTATGTTCTTCTTATGTTTATGTTTACATTGCTGCATTAGAGCCCCTTTTTTTTTTTTGGCAACGCATATATTTCCAGACGAATTCTGGATTTCACTACATACCTCATTCAATTTTATAACATTTTCCAGCATGTTGGTAGAATTTATAAAAATACATTATTTCAACACAAACCACTAACCTCGTGCTAATATAGCGATAATTACGTATTAATTACGATAATTAATAACTGAAATAATTCAGACAAAAAAAAAATAGAAAGCAAGAAAACGTATTCATCATTTACTCACCACTATGTTGTTACAATTATTTTTATTTCTTCAACGAAACTTCAATCAATCTATCGTTTGTTCGTTTAATCATTCATTATATTGTTCTATCGTTCGTTCTACCATTCGATCGTTCGTTCTATCGTTCTATTGTTTTAACTATCGTTCTGTCCAAGTATATAAATCTGTCTTAAATCTATTGTGTTGTCATATTTATGGTTCTATCTATTTATTGTTATATCTGTCATTCTATTGTTACATCTATCGTATAACTGAAATAATTCAGACAAAAAAAAAATAGAAAGCAAGAACACGTATTCACCATTTACTCACCACTATGTTGTTACAATTATTTTTATTTCTTCAACGAAACTTCAATCAATCTATCGTTTGTTCGTTTAGTCATTCATTATATTGTTCTATCGTTCGTTCTACCATTCTATCGTTCGTTCTATCGTTCTATTGTTTTAACTATCGTTCTGTCCAAGTATATAAATCTGTCTTAAATCTATTGTGTTGTCATATTTATGGTTCTATCTATTTATTGTTATATCTGTCATTCTATTGTTACATCTATCGTTCTATTTGGTAACACTTTATTTTAAGGTGTCGTTGTTACACATTACATGTACTTACTACTATTATAATAACAATAAATTATGAATAATTACATGCAAGTAACCCTAAGCCAAACCCTAATCCTAACCCTACCCATATTGTAAGTACATGAAGTTAATGTATAATAACATGTTATTAAATGTATAATTAATGTATAATTACATTGTAACAAGGACACCTTACAATAAAGTGTAACACCCTCTATTTTTATGTCTATCATTCTATCATTACATCATTCTGTCAATCGTTCTATCGGTAATTCTATCTGTTTTGTCTGTCATTGTATTGTTTTATTGTGCTATTTATTGTTTAATCATATTATTCTACTGTTCTTGTTCTAGCCATCTGCTGTACCTTCATACTTCAAAAACTCTTGAAAAAGCCTTATTCGAAGTTAAAGGTCAAAAAGACTTGAAGTTAAACAATTACTTTTATATAATATGAAAACAAATGTTATTCTACTTCCATATTTACATTTGAATTGCAAATCTGCATCCTGTTTTCTACTGCAATTCAAGTTCAAATCCAATTTATTAATCGGATCATAATTTAAAATGCATTCTCGGTTCAGTTCTGAACTCTGGTTTATGGGGGAACAAACCTTTAATTGTGTATCTTCAAACTTGGGCAAGCAGGTGAGATCCTTTAATGATATGGTTTCGAGACATGCTGACTTTGCTGGAAGAGACATTCTTCCCAATATCATCTGACTCTGCACATTATAGTGAGGTGATATATGATTATTCCATAAGCCATTGCTAGACTATAGCTCAGAATGATTGAGGGCTTCTTCTAAAGTGATGAGAATTTATTTGCATTGGAAGGAGTAAATGGCAGTATTATGGTTTTGGACTTAATCCCCAGAGAGATGCTGAAGAGATGCAATCTGTGGTGTAGCTTCTTGGCAGATTGTTTAGACTGCTCTTGTTCAGCGCATTGCAGGGTGACAGGCTTGGTCTACTGTCTTGAATCAAATGTTTCTTGTAGAAAACTCATCTGGGCTGTAAGCCAGGCGCTCCTGATTTATGTGACCTCGATCCAAACATGGTTTTCAGTCTGGCTTTTGAGTGAGCAAGTGGGTTCCACTGGCAACTAGACATTTTAGAGAAAAGGGGGAAAATAGAGAGAGAATATGGAGTCAATAAAATCATTTGATTTGAACAGGTACAAGTTTGGCTCAGTTCAAAGCCTGAATAAAAATAAAAAATGAGCACTTACTGTATAAGGAATGTCTGGCCCTTGACAGTGTGGATGTGATAAGTGGCCACTCGTGCTCTGCAAACATTGAATTCAGTGAAAGCAGTTAACAGGCCTTTTTAAATGTAATGCTTTAAAAAAAATCAGTGGATATCATGGGAAAAAAATCACTGTTCAGTAAAGAAGAAATTAACACTTCATTAGATGTTTATAGTGCTTTGGTTCCTTTGTGCACTCTAAAAAATGCTGGGTTGTTTCAACCCAACTTTGGGTCAAAGATG